GTAAAAACGAGCAGATGACAAGGGTCGACATGGCCATGGCTTCTGCTGCTGCACTGGTGGCTGCTCAGTGTGTGGAGGCTGCAGAAAATATGGGAGCAGAAAGGGATCATTTGACATCCGTTGTGACCTCTGCAGTCAATGTTAAGTCCCATGACGACATTGTCACACTTACTGCAGCTGCTGCAACATGTATTCTATTTTAAGTTTATTAACATATTCTGAGCTACTCATGTTGAGAATATCCAAACAAAAAGCTACTTATGTCGAGAATCCTTAAGTGAATTTGCCCACTTTTTGTAGCTCTGAGAGGAGCAGCTACATTGAAGGCTAGAGCACTTAAAGAAGTATGGAACATAGCAGCGGTGTTACCAGCCGAGAAAGGTGCAAGTTCAGCTTTGTGTGGCCAGGTTGAAACAAAGCATAGCGATAGCAGCTTTAGTGGAGAACTACCTATGACTGGGGAAGACTTCCTTGGCGTTTGTAACCAGGAACTACTAGCTAAAGGCACCGAGCTCCTCAAACGAACTCGTGGAGGTACGCCAAAGTTACACTAGTTCACATTTATCTGTAAGATGATAAATAAAAGAAGGGTTACTGACCTTGTAATTTGAAATCAGGTGATCTCCACTGGAAGATTGTCTCTGTCTACATCAACAAAGCAGGTCAAGTCGTGCTGAAAATGAAAAGTAAACATGTTGGAGGGACATTCACCAAGAAGAAGAAACGTACACACATTTCCTCTCTTACAACATAGCCTGCTTTGAATAAAACCTAATAACTCAGGATTTTTTAATATGGACTTGCATTGCAGTTATGGTGCTTGAAGTGAAAAGAGATATACCTGCATGGGCTGGCAGGGACCTCTTCAACGGAGACAAGCATCACTACTTCGGCTTGAAGACTGAAACAAAGAGGGTCATTGAATTTGAGTGCAGAAACCAAAGGGAATACGATATATGGACTCAGGGCGTTGCCCGCCTTCTTGGCATTGCTGCGGAGAAGAAGCAAAAAAGTTCCATGTCCAAATGGATGGCACCTTAAAGTAGCAGAGAAGTAGATGCTTTTGTCGAACTTTCTATGATAAAAATAGGTTTAAACAACATCAAGGAGTAGAAGACTTTCCCTCTTGTAATATATCCTTGAATTCTATTAATTGAAGAGATGACTTTTAAAGCTAACAACTTTCACAAATAGAATGTATTGGTCATGATACAGCATTCAACTTTTCTTTACAACCAATATATCTATGTAGATAAAGAATTTCTGACATTACATAGTCTTAGAGCACGCTGATAAAAAAGAAGGCAGAGACAGACAGCTTAACTATCAGCAGCTCTTAACAAAGTGAGTAGAGAAAGGAAGAGATTAATCACATCCAAATAGAGAGATACTGCAGCCCAGATGTACTCGTCATACGAGTGTCTCTTGATCAAGTTATCCGTATCGTACACAATGTATGCACAGAAGATGATGGATGCCAAACAACCATAGATCATCACTGAGATCTTTCCTAAAGGGAAGAGAATCTGCAGCCATAAACACACACACACAGAGAGGAATGTTAGGCTCTAACTAGCAAACAGAACACAAGCAAGAATGATGCCTTGTGACCATAAGAAGAGAAGATACGAATGATACCTGGATGAAGGAAAACACCATAAGCACAATGACGGCACCGAACAAGAAGGGTCCGAGGAAGTTGAAGTCCTGGCCTCTTTTGGCAGCCCAGAACGTGTAGAGGGTGAGGGATATGACCACAACAGACGTCAAAATCACAGACTCGAGAATGACCTTCCCTGTTCCACAGATATCAATCAATCAATTACGTTAGGTAGGCTTCTTAATAACAGCATCATCGTGAATACAAGGATGTTGTTACATACCGCTTGTGAAGGCGCAGGTCAAGCCAACCGCACAAGCAAGAGAGACGGTGAAAATCCCGAGTAATAGATAGTTCACAGGGTGCTTCTGGTGATAGTAGTACAAGGGACACATAACTGCACGCAAAATTGATAAAACAGATGAGTAATAT